CCAAAACCCTAAACCCAAAACCCTAACCCCAAACCCCAAAACCCCAAAACCCCGATCCCAAAACCCAAAATCGTTACCCCCAAAACCCGAACCCCCGAAACCCTAAACCCTAAACTAGAAACCTTAAAACCCGAACCCCCAACCCCCAACCCGAAACCCCAAAACCCCAAAAACCTAAACCCGAAATCCTAAACCCGAAACTCAAAACCCTAACCCCAAACCCGTAACCCCAAATCCCAAACCCTAAAAAATCCTAAACCCTAAACCCTAAACCCTAAAAAACCCCAAACTCCAAACCCTAAAAAACCCTAAACCCTAAGGAACTCCAAACCCCGAACCCTAAAAAACCTTAAACCCTAAAAAACCCTAAGCCCTGAATCCTAAGAAAAACCCTAAACCCTGAATCCTAAAAAACTCTAATCCCTAAACCCCAAAACCTTAAAAAGTCCAAACCCTAAAAACTTGAAACCCCAAAACCTTAAAACTCCAAATCCAAAACTCAAAACCCCAAACCTTAAACCTTAAACCTCAAACCTTAACTCCTAAACCCCCAACCTCTAACCCCAAAACCTGAAACCCCAAACTCGAACCTGAAATCCTAAACCTTAAAACCGTAACCCCCAAACCCTAAAAACCCTAAACCCAAATCCTAAAATCTGTAAAAACCCTAAACCCTAATCCCAAAACTCTAAACCTTAAACCCTAGATCCTAAATCCAAAAACTCAAAACCTAAAAACTTAAAAATCCTAAACTCCAAACCCTAAAAGCCCTAAACTCAAACATAAATCCTAAAATATAAAATATAAACTCTAAAAGAAGCTTTAGGTGGGAGGGATTCAACTTGAAAGTGTTAGCGAAGCTATTTCAAAACTCTCAGTGTACTTTAGTAAAATAATTGAATTTTTGTTTTCTAGTCCACCGTAGCAAGGTAGAATTGAATTAAATTATTTTTAAGGTTACAAATATTTTTTAAAGACTTTTTTCATTTTAAAATAACAATAGGAATTCTTATAAAAAAAATTTGTGTGAAACTATATGTGATTTTATTTCTTATCTTTAATTGTTGGTTAGAAATTTTATAACATTAAAAAAAATTATTTATCTATATCATTTCATTAATTCTCAAACTTTTTTAATAAATAAATTATATATTAATTTTGATTTTAAAATCATGAAATCTATCATTTACATCAGATCTAACATGAATTTAATTTAAACCATATCGATGAAAATGATTTTATAGTGCATGAGGTTCCTTTCCTTTTGTTTTCATTGTCTTATTGAACCCGCCGAGCGTTGTTTTATTCTCAAATCGAAACCCAATGTGTTCGAGAAAAGAAAAATGAAAACATGAAAAAAGAAACGAAAAGAAAAGGAAGAGAAGAGGAGAGAAGAACACAACTGGGCCAACCCTGAAAAGAAAATGAAATGGGCTGGCCCGTAATTCAACAGCGGCTCCCTCATCACTGAAATCAGAAAAACCCTGCAAAAGCACACAAACCAGAGAAAAAGGAATTCTAAGAAAGGTAAAGAAGGAAATGCAATCTTTATCTTCCCTTCGAAGCGCACTTGGTTCTATTCCTGCTTCATTTCCTCTTCCTTCTCATGGAACTTTCAACTCCATATCCAGACACACCGCCTCTCCAGGCAAGCTCAACCTCTCTCTCTGTCTCTATTAGTTCGATGTTCTTGATTTACATAATTTGATGTATTGGACCAGAGACTTAATGTTTCGTAAGAAATGATTGCTTCATTTTCATAGATGCTATGTGTTTGAAGCATTAAAATTGTTATTTGTTTTTGTCAAATGGAAAAATGACTAAACAACTTACCGGGTTCAACCTCTTACATAGAACTGATCTCAAATTGCTGTTTTTCTACTGAAAATGAGGACACGAGATCAAACATTATAATGCTTTAATTTGTCGGCCTCTTTTTGCTAATGGCAGATTCCCCTTTACAGGGAACAACCATCTTCTTTACAAACCTATTTTGCCTATTGAGTTTTCATTCACTATCCTATATGCCTCCCCATCAACCATTCATGTTGAATTTATTGTATGTTTTTGCTAATCGTCCTTTAACAAGAAACCTTCATCTTTTTATTGTCAGGATGGTTAATCAAAACGTATGCAATAAATATACTCTTGGGCAAGTAATTCCTTCACTTTTACGTTAGCTCACTTTACGACTCAAATATTATAAACATATGCCCTTCTCTTTTGTCTGCACTTATTGTCTGTACACCAAGATCTCTTAGAACAACTGCCTTAAAAAGAGTATTTTATTCCTCATGCTTGTTTTGCATCTTCAAATTCTTTTGCAATGATGTTGCAAGCACATCTCATTAAGCCCCATTTACCTCAATAGATAACAGATTAAACCCCAATCCATGGTGCATTATATATGCAAGATAAATAACTCTTACGCAATTTCTTTTTGAATGTCTAAATGAGATTTTGATAGTGTATATTTAAAGAGTCGAGAATGCTGAGTATTTGCAGGTCTAGTTGGGAGTGAACTAAACTTCTCGAGAATTACATTTCATCCAAGGATTAAGGTTAATTGCGTTTCCACCCCTTCAGAGAAAGCTGCCTTCACTCATGAAAATTATGATAAAAAGTGCCCTTTGGTTAAAATGTGTGGGATTACCTCAGCTCGAGATGCTGTGATGGCAGCAGAAGCTGGTGCAAATTTTATTGGGATGATTCTTTGGCCCAGCTCAAAACGGTCCATTTCACTTTCAGTTGCAAAGGAAATTTCAAAAGTTGCAAGAGAATATAAAGCAGCACCGGTAGGGGTGTTTGTGGATGATGATGCAGACACAATATTGAGAGCTGCGGATGCAGCAGACCTTGAATTTGTGCAGGTATATTTTCGTACTTTTGACTGTTTCTTATCTAGTATATCATTTTTGTTTCTGACTTTGATATTCTATTATTCAGCTTCATGGGAAAGGTTCACGGGCAGCTTTTCTAGATTTAAAGGGAACAAATCGTATAGTGTATGTTCTCCATGCAAATGAGAATGGAAACCTTCTAAATCAAATTTCAGATGAAGAATGTTCCTTGGTTGATTGGATTCTCGTGGATAGCACAACAGGTGGCAGGTAAGAAAATGATTTACCTTCATGTATAGTTCATCCATCATCTCCATTTTGCCAGTTTGTATATTCCATGGACCATCTATGTTGAGTTTTAAAAATATAGAATTTTGGTACTAATTGATTTGATGCATTATCTTCAATGAGCTTCGCGCCTAGGAACTGAATAGTTTTTGACGGACCAAAATGAGCAAAACTGAGTAGATGTTGGAAACTTGTCTGATGCTCACATTATACAGGTCTAGACTGGACTATCTCAAAGTAAGCAGATATGATTAACCTTTGGATCAATTGAACAAGTGTGTGCAGGATGTTCAATCTGTAAATTACTTTGTTTCAGAAGCAGCTGTGGGAACTGAAATACATGCAAGACGATAAAAGCGCAATTTGCATCTAGACCTCTCAATTGCCTAAAATTTGTATTTACAGAGCCTGCTTATATGTAACTCACATTCCCAGCATCCTTTTCTTTGATATTGTCAATCTTGTTAAAGACTTCTTCCTCAAATAAACTTATGATTCTGTTTGCAGTGGCAAAGGATTTAACTGGACGCATTTTGAATTACCACCAATCAAAAGCAAGAATGGATGGCTCTTGGCGGGAGGGATTAAGCCTGGAAACGTTATTGAAGCTGTTTCTCTCCTCAAACCTCATGGTGTCGATGTTAGTAGTGGTATTTGTGGCTCAGATGGCATTAATAAGGATCAATCACGAATAGTGTCATTTATGAATGCAGTCCATTGTGTACGCTATTGATTGACCACAAGGAAAAAGAAACCAATCCTGGCTGCGTCACTTGAAACCCGATTTGCATTGTGCCAGCCAGTATTACTATCATCTCATTCTATGGAGTTATCTAGTTGAATATGGATGTACCATGGTTCGGGTCTGAGACGGAAATCCATGCTTTTAAACTACGAGGCTGCTCGAAGTGTATTTTAATGTATTGTTCAAGCATTTCAGAATGAGATCTTGAACATTTAAAAGAGATGCTACCGATATAACAAGCGTACTAAACGTGACACCACATTCTTATCAATCATGCGGGGATGGTTGTCGTTCCTTTAACAGTGTAGTTTTTTTATCCTTCTCAACATCAGAAATTCCTTTCCTGAGTTGGTAGTTAATCCGTTCATAGACCTTGAGTTTTGAAAATTAGTCACAACCCTTCTACTCCAATAGTTGATCACATAAGACCAATATTTGCATTTACTGATCATCCAGGGTCATTCTATCCATGTCCATTAACAAGTCGAACTAAATCTAAGAAAATGGGGAGAAAAAAAGGAATTGAACTAGATAATTAGTTCAATATGTGTAAGATGAATGAACAAATCTTTAAAAGTATCAGATTCTCTTGATCCTAGTACTAATGCCTTACAAATTCTCGACCTCCGTGTCTAAATCTACACCGGACTTTAACCAAATTCTTGTTTGAATCAACACCAACCAAACCCCGATCTCTTTCTCCTCCCGTATCTCTTTTATCCCCCTTCAGCTCCACCATTCCTCACATCAGGCCTATCCTCCAAAAGTTCCATTTTGGTTTTTGTCACGTAGTCATCAATCTCAATACCATAAACTTTGATTTCCATTTGATAAGATCCTCTCTCTCTCTCAAAATTTCTGAATTCAATGGTTTTAATGGCGGTGATGATTTGGGTTGAGTGCCTGGCATCTCTAGGGAATCTATGATGATTGGTGATGAAAGATCTGAACTTCTATATCAACTACAAAATACAAAAGTATACTTATATAGTTTGTACGGACGAGAACTATTCTAGGTAGGTAATTACTTTCGTACATAAATCTATGCTATATGTAACTAGCATTCCATAATCAATGAAAACCAAATAACAAATGAAATCCTATAATACCTCTAAAAGTCTTTGTTGATAACTCATGCCAACACCCCTTTCAAGTTGGTGCATGGATGTCTCTAATTATCAACTTGTCTAATGAGTTATAAAACATTTTGTTTGAGACTATCTTTGAAAGAAAAATTGTTAGTTGTATTGTTGATTTACAAAACAAAATTAAACTATCTTAACTTCAAGTTTTTTCTTTATAAAATATCAGTCCACTTCTACATGTTTAGTTTAATCATGTTGATTTGGGTTTTATACAATCATTATAAATGTTTTATTATCACAAAACAGATTCATTTTAGAACTAGCTAAATAGTCAATTTCTTAGTCATGCCTTTAAATTCAGCTTCTGTACTAGATAGTGCAACCACCTTTTATTTCTTGCTTTTTCAAGTAACTAGATTGTCTCCCATGAAAGTGAAATATCAAAATGTAAACTTTCTGTCAATAGTACTTCCAACCTAGTCAGCATCTGTGTACCTATTAATGTTTAGATAATTATGTTTCCTGAAAATACATCCTTTTCCCCGGAAAGACTTCAAGTATCGTAGAATTTAAAACATGGAATTTGTGTTATCCTCACTAGGATTATGCATTAATTGACTCACCAAACTCACTACATAGGCATTATTTGGTAGTGTATGAGAAAGATAAATCAATTTTTTGACTCTCGTCAAGCATTCATGATTATAACTTATGTTAACAACAAATCAAGTTCCTTTCATAGCTCAGGTGTCGGTTATACCATACATTATGGGCTATGAAAGTGCCAAGCATTTGTTGTACCAAGTGTTATACAACATAAATCAAGATTAGTCATTTAACAAGCAAAGTATTAAAGAGTGAACAAGATAACAAATATAAAACATGTTAGTATCAAACATTAAGGTCCATATTAAGTTTACATTATACTTATTCTTACACCATTAGTGTAACCTTTTCACCTTGACATAATTAACTTAGCTAGACATAATGAAAGAAAGAAAAATAAATAAACAAAATAAGAACATAAATAAGATAAAAGTTAGCTAAGTAAATGAAAGGAAATGAAAGGCATAAACTTAATATTAATGAAAGCAAAGCATAAACATTACAAAAAATACAAAGAGAGAAAGGAAGAGCATGATCTTGATCTGGAAACCAAGATGCCTAAATGCATGGCAAATGCCTCCTTTTATAGGCCAAAATTGGGAACTATTGATTTGATGACTAATTGATAAGTGGGTGGCCAACTTTTGACTTGGTGACAATCCTTATCTTCTCTTGTCTGCCCAAAACATCATTGATAACGTCAAAATTAGAGCCACTTGAACATATAAAAGTTGTAGGCTATTGTCTCAACTTTCTTGTGTAAACAATTCAGCTCATTTGGACTTCTAGAACTCCAGATATGGCCAAAATACTGAACAGTGCTCGGGCTGGAGAACAGATTCGGGCTTCTTTGTTGTTGCTATAATTTGGACTTGAAAGTGGCCTTTTTAGATCTTGGGTTCCATATGAAAGTTGTAGGCCTATGTTTTACCTTTCCATCCATATAAAGTAGACTTAAATCTGAGATCTATAGCTCTAGATATGACCCAATTACCAAACAGTGTTCCGGTTTGGATTGCACCGACATCTTTTTTCTAATTTTAGTCATCTCTTTGCCCTTACAATTTAAGTTCTTAAAGTCATCAATCAATCCTTTCATTTATGTGATAGGCCTGCATTTAAAATGACATTTACCACAAATTAAAGGTATCTTATATTATTAGATATATTATTATAAAACATGTTTTAGTTAAGGAGTTATTAATACTTCAAGTGCAAAATGATGATATAAAATCATGATAAAAATGCACTTTTAAGTACTAATCAACAAGATATTGGTAACTTTCTTTAGTCGTGGGTATTTGGTTTGATTGTTTTTTAAATCCATAGTTTTGAACCATTCAAGCTTATAATTAAGCATTATTATTTCAGCTAGCATATCTAATACATATTTTCTTTGTGATAGAAATATGTCTTAATTTGACCAAGCTACTTTGATGCCTAAAAAGTATTTTAATTCCCCAAGATTCTTCATTTCAAACTCAGTTGCCAAATGCTTCTGCAAACTAGAGATTTCTTCTTTATCATTTCTTGTAACTATCATATCATCAACATAAATCATCAAAGTCATTACCATCCTTTGTCGATGCTTCAAGAATAGAGTATGATCCGAATTGCTTTGTTTAAACCTATATTTCCTCATTACCAAGATAAATTGTCCAAGTCATACTCTAGATGATTGCTTCAGTCTATAAATGCCTTTTGCAGCTTGCATACCACTTTGATTTGTAATGATATAGTAAAACTTGCATTTTTACATCAATTGATGTAATTACCAGTATAAATTTGCACCGAAAGACAACATATACTCTAACAACATTTAACTTTGTTACTGGTGAAACATCTCTTGGAAGTCTATGCCATATATTTAGGCATATCCTTTTTATTAAAAGTCTCACCTTATATCTCGTTATTGACTCATATACCTTATATTTAATGGAGAACACCCATCTACACCTCACTGTCTTATTTTCTTTGGGTAACGAGATAATTTTTCATGTATCATTCTTTTGCAAAGCTATCATCTCTTTAGTTATTGCTTGAACCTATTTTTAGGTCATTCAAAGCATCTTGTACTATACTCGGAACATGCATAGAAGATAACTTAAACATAAAAGCTTTAAGGGGTTATGATAATTTTTTGATACAAATATAGTTGGCAATGAGATACTTTATTCTTTTTTCTTTATAATTTATTAAGTATTGATTTGGTGGCTTACCATGATTGTACCTAAAAGGCAATTTATAGCTAAAAGAGTTATCTACAACATTACTGGCAAAAGAGTTTAGAGATTGTACCTCAAGAACATTCTCAAAATATTGATTGTTTGGTATAAAATTATTAGAAGAAGGTTGGTCTTACTCAATGGGTTGATCTTGTCCTTGTTCTTGTACATTGGTCTGGTTTTGCTAATTAGTATCATGCCTCAATTGAGTCCCAATCAGAATAGTATTATGCCTCGATTGTGTCCTAACTAGATTAGACGATGTTTAAGATAATTGACTTCCATCAATTTGATTTTGCTTTAATTTTTTATCATCAAAGTCTAGCCAATTCTCCCAACTGTTCATATTTTGATCTTCACATAAAATTTTTCCCTGAAGAGAAGAACAAGGACCTTGTGTTAGAAAAATAGTTTCAACTTCACAAAAAGTTACATCGTTTATGTTGTAAAGATGCATGGTAAAGGAATTATAACACCTATAACCAAGCTTCAATTTTGAAGGAAATTCAAAGTCTAGTTGTACCCTATAATATTCAAAATCAAGGTCAAATTAAATAATTATTTGATGAATTTGCATAAAAATTAAGTCCAGGGATATAATTACATTTTTAATAGGTCAATTTGATTTAATCATGGGTCAAATTAAATTTTAATTATATTTAAGAATTACTTTGGGTATAATTAAAGGATCTAATTAAGTACAAGGACATAATTATACTTTAAATGGGTCAAATTAATTTTATTTTGGGCTTAATTGATAAAAAAACAAATTACGTTTGGGAACCTAATTTAGGCTTAGTTGAAAAGAATAGAATTTTACGAAACCAAATTTAATTTTTTTTTCAAGTTAATTGATTGAAATCAAGGGTAAAATTGTAAGAAAAATAAAATTTTGGGGTCAAGTAAGGGTTAAATTAACAAAATTCACAGCCAATGACCAATCTGCAAAAGGCGTCAAACTATAGAGGCTTAATTGACAAAAAACCAAGGGTGCAATTGAAGAATTTGAAAGTTTAATAGTCAATTAAGAGTGAAATTGCAAATTGCGTAAATTCGAGACCAAAGACTACATTGTGAAAGGCACGTAAACTTGGGATTCCAATTAAAGTTTTGATAGGGGCTAAATTACACTAAATCAAAGGTTTAAGGTTAATTAGGGGTATAATTAAACAGATGCGAGAGTATAAGAACTCAATTTAAATTCGATAAAACTCCTTCGTTTAACCCAAAATGACATCATTTTTGTATGAAAAAAAGACCAGGCGACACGTTGCCTAGTCACTATTCATTGGCATCCCCGTGAATGCTGCCCATTAGCAGTTTTACGGGTGCATTTAATGTTTCGTATGTCCCCTAAAATTAACAACACATGCATCAAAATAGTCACCTAAAATACCTTTATCCCTGAGAATTGTCCGTTCAGGCCTATAA